TGAAGTATTTGGATCACAGGAAGCCGGAATAGCTTTGACAGTTGGGAAAATTTACTGTGCCACATCATGGGTTAGAATTTATTAACAAATCGTAGATCATTTTGCGTAACGCGAATACAAAGGAACAGTCACTTCCGGATGCTACGATCGTCGCAAAGCATGGAACAAATATGGCAACCCTAATGTCTATTAATTCGCTGATCTCGATTCAGCTGAAAAAAAATAAACCTATATGATAATTCAGTCTACATTCTATCTAATAATTCTCCTAGCCAGATACCGGAGATATAATAGGACTGTGAGGTTTTTCTTTCGTATCTTCCATCGTGATAATAATAACCGCCATCATATCCACTGTTTCCATTATATTCATCATATCCATCATCATTTGAATCGTTTAGCATCTCTTCTTCGGAATCATTGTCATGACTACAGTCACTATCATCGTCTGTCTTATCTGATTGCGAAACAACCTCTTCAATCGTTTCTTTCACCGACTGATCATAATCAAATTCATCATCAAAATACATGTTATCATAGTCTTTGGTTGAAATTAGAGTGATATTCTACTCGCCACTCTTGAAAAATATAAAAAACATGAACAATGTTCATGATCGAGAAGAAATTACACAGAGTTTGAACCGTGTTGAAGTCGAGATGAAATGTGGAAAATAAAAAATCAACATTATCTGCACTAGGATTTTGTATCGGTCGAGATAAAAAATAATACTTTATGATGCTGTATATTTATAATTCGTATAATAAAATAAAAATTACGTGATGAAATTGCGGTGAATATAAGCAATATCTCACCCATATAGTTGCGATTAAAGCGAAACTTTATTATGATATAAAAATAGTTTGTAGCTAGAGAGTAAGAAACATACATATAATTAAAGAGATAAATCTTTGTTTACGGACTATATAAGTTAGAAAGCAACCTCCTTCCCTTTACAATGGAGTGGGCATTCTAAACATACTCTTCTTATAGGCGAAACAAATCGAGTCGTAATTTCATTAACACGTCCTGATGTTGGCAATGTCGCTTGCCGTGTTGAATGAGATATCTATTACAAAACGACGAAATTAAATAAAGGAAAAAAAAAAATAAATGCATGACAAAAAGATGTTTTTAATTCAGCTTACGGGTCTTCTCTCCTCGTTCATTAACTGAAAACGATTTGTCATTTCACGAACTGACGAACCACGCCTTGGAGGCATAGGATGATTATTATTGTACGGTCTTTGTGGAAAAGGCCTATCTCTCGTATCTCTCGAATCATATGATCCTTGATTTTGCGAGGGGACATAATCATATGATTCATAATCATCATCGACATACTGTTTCGGAGATGGTGAAGAATAAGATTTCGGCGGTGATATTGGAGGCGGGTATGTTGGTGGAGGCGTTTGTGAAACCTATAAATACGATTAGCGCTTATGTTGAATAAGTATGTGCAAATTTAGGATAAAACACTTACAGAATTGTTTCTACGACGCCTTTTGGGCGAAGGACCAT